TTAGGTCTTGTGCAATTTCTGGCCAAATGGCCCACGCCTTCACAATTGTAACATTTGGGGCCCGCGCCCTTACCTTTGCCTTTGTTTACGGCGTCAACTTCTTCATGGCCCCCACTGTCACTCTCATTGGCCCAGGACCCGTAACTCCACGATCCATCTTCTGGCCACCAGTTTCCGTCCTCGTGAACCCATCCTGTTTGGTCCCAAACATTTTCGGACCCTTGACCCATCTCGTCGACGTTCCCAATGTCCATCGCATCTTTATTTTTTGTGTCTGAGTCGAGTTTCTTTTTACGCGCCCAATCTTCGCACTTGGAGTATAACTTCTGGAATGAGTCAATGTTAAGCACGTCGGGCGTTCGCCAGCACGCCTGCTGCCATTCATCAAACCAATCGTTCGCATGCACCATTATTGCCCTGAGTGCGGTGACTTTAAAAGGAAGAGGCAGCGAGTAATCTTCACCGTACTTTTCAGGGTTTTCTGCCAATGCGCTCCACTCCTCAAGTCGGGTAACGGCGTCAGTAATCTTCTTGGGCGGCTCAGGGTTCATGGCGTGTGTCATCTTTGATGACAGAGTCGCTCCGGTAACAGCCGAGTACCATTTGTAGACCTTTTGCCAGGCCATGATTCCATCTCCATCCATAAGTCCCTTTAAATTTCCTCTTGCTTCTGCACCTTCGAGCTTCTCGTTGAGAATGTACCATAAGTCTTCCTCCATTTGAGTTTTGTCTCCCTCGGTAAACTCGTGCTCTCCTTTGTTGTCATCCTCTGCTTGTTTAGCTGAATTCGCCTTCAAGTATTCGCTTGCTGTTAATCGGCCGTTCATTATGCGTATGATGTCCGAGCGTCTCCAACTTCTTGTTTAGCACACTTTCAGCGCCGGTCGGTAACTCGGTTTTACTTGGGCCAGTGCGTTTAAGAACTTGTCGCTCCAGTCTCTGAACTTTGCTCTTTCTCCACTGAAGTTCTTTAACGCCTGTAATGCCTTCTATTCGCTTATCGGTTTACCACTCCCGTGCTTGCTTCCACTTCCTCCTTTAATTGCTTCCGAAAGCTGACCAAATTGTTCAATCAACTTTTCTTGTACCTCGCTGTTGGTCTCCAACTCGGTAACTCTTTCCACCAGTCTGCGAGCATCCCTTTCAAGTGCAGCATTTCTTTTCGTAATCGCTAACAACATGCTGTTGGTCTTATGAGCACTCTGTAACATTTGGAATGCCTCGGCGTTCGATACCTCCCTTCGGTCCTGTGTCACTCGCTCGTTGATGAACGTTGCGAGTCCGAAATGGTTCGCGAGTAACGCTGTCTGAACGTAACTGAAGTCTCCGCTCAGGTACGCTTGCTCACACAGGTCGTTGAAGCGGTTGGGGTCCATGTTGACCCATGCGTCTCTGTCTGCCGGCACATTGAGGTTAACCGGCGGGTCGCCCTGCCCAGGCCTAGCTGCAGCGGCCGCCGCCGCCGCCATGGCAACCGCGCTCCGCTACCATGCAAAACCCCGAGGAGGGTTCTGCACGGGAGCCTGGTAACAATGATAATGATAGGTCACCTTTATACTCCCGCACGGCGAAGCAAGTCTCGGTAGCTTCAGCCGTTAAACACTTGAGCCAAAGGCAACAGGGTTACTATCCCTCCCCAGTCACCTGAACGCTTGGATGTTAACACCTCCTCCTCCTCCTCCTCCTCATCCTCCCCATCCTCCTCCTCCTCCTCCTCCTCCTCCTCCTCCTCCTCCGTTATCTTCGTCGCCATCACCCATTTTCTTCTCCCGCCTCCTCATCCTCCCCCTCCCCACATCGTCTTCATGTCCCTTCTTACCCACCTCCTCCTCCTCCTCCTCCTCCTCCTCCTCCTCCTCCCCCTCCTCCTCCTCCTCCTCCTACTCCTCCTCCGTCCCCTCAAGGGTGGGGCCTGTGCCAGCCACGTCGATATTCAGCGATCTGGATTTTCTGCACTGCTGGCGGCGATGGTCCCTCCCCTGCTCGGTCACAACACAGCTAGACTCGGATGGGGGGTCGCCGCCAACACGACTGTGCGCAACGCAAGATTGCTCACGGCACGCCCGTCCGTAATCCCTATGATTGAGTCGGGCGTGTCCCCCTACAGGGGGATTGTCGACGAAAAAAAAATACTCGAAAATACTCCCAAATGGTCAAAAGGTACTCAAACAATAGTCCCTGGACTATTTTTATACCTATTTTTGAACATTCCCCCTGTAGAGGGACAGGCCCGACTTAACCCTGTGATCGTGCGCCCTGTCCTCCTATTTCGTAGAACACCTTCCCCCTTCGCCTTCTGCCTCCTCCACCCGCTCCTCCTCGGACCCCTCCCGGTGACAATGCCAGTGAGCACCCGACTTGGAGACTCGGAGGTAAAAGTCGGCCGCCTCAGGCTTCGTTCGTGAGCAGCGTCTCCTGGAGCCCCCCTGGCCGCCGCCTCCTGCACTTCTGGGACAAGCCCTGCCGTGCGCTCAGCAGCAGCACGGCGACTGCGACGACGGCGGGCTCCATGACCAGCATGTGCATGGCCAGGAGGACAACCGATGACACAGACATAACAGCTCGGAGGTCCGCGCGGACTCCTCGGATCGGCGCCGGACCCCCTCTCTGGAGCGCGGAGCGTGCCGGGAGCGGCGCCAGAGGCAGGAGAGCCCAGAATCGAATCGGTAAGTCGGATCGGCGATCGACATGAATCGGATCGGCGGAAATCGGCAGCCGAGTCAGGAGAAGTCGAATCGGCAGACAGCCAAGTAAGCCTTCAATAAGAAATCAGAACCCACATCGGAATCCCAAGTCGAATCGAATCGGAATCGGAAGCCATCGAAGCCGAACAGAATCGGATCGGAGGAGTCGAAACGAGCCCTGCGGAGGCGCCGCCAGGGGGGCCCCCAGCGCCGGTCCGAGGAAGCCGCGCGGACCCCCGAGCTTTCATGCTCGCGTCATGGGTTGTTCCCCTCATGGCAACGCTGTGGCGCCACTTGCAGAACAGCTTCTCGCAGACGGCGCAGTCACCGTCGCGGGTGGCCACCGACACGGCGTGGGCCAGGGTCAACACACTGAGCGCCGCGGCCCAGCAGCTGGCCGCGGTGGAGACGGCGGAACGCAGGCCGCCGCGCTGGTCCCAGTCCTTCTTGAGGACCACCGTCCTCCTCCCTCTCCTCCTCCCCCCTCCTTCCGCCTCCTCCTCCTCCTCCTCCTCCTCCTCCCTCCTCCTCCTCCTCCTCCTCCTCCTCCTGCTCCTCCTCCCTCCTCCTCCTCCTCCTCATCATCATCCCACTCCACCTCCTCCTACCCCTCATACCCCTCCTCCTCCTCCTCCTCCTCCTCCTCCTCCGTAGCCATTTTGGTTCATGCCTTTCCGTAGGCCCCCTGCTCCTGGACCCTGTCCCTCGGCGTACCCCCCTCCCGGGCGTGAGGGCCTTGGGGGGGTAGGGCTTTTGGCTTATGGGCATGATGGCACGGCGACCCTGAAGGCTGGCAGCAGCGTCGGTCGTGGGCCGAGCGCACGGCCGCGCGGCGGCGGGCGCTGGAGGCTGCCGACAACGGCCTGGCTGCGGTCAGGGCCGAGCGCGACGCGGCGCAGAGTGAGTTGTGCACGGTGCGGAAGTGCTTCGAGGCCGTCGTCGGCGACTCGGAGCTCGCCGATCGCATCGCCGCCCTCGCGCCGGCCCTGAGCGCTCTGCTGCGGGGGAGGCGCCTTCGGCCGAGGAGGTGCTACGGCGCAGCGTGGCGCTGCATGCGGATGCCCCTGAGGGAGTGTCCATCGCTGCGGCGCCATGCGAGGACTTGCGCCGCCTGCAGAAGAACGACCGCCTGGGAAGGCCGCCAGTTCACGGAGGGGCGGCTCGGAGACGCGACGGGCTTGGACATCTCCGTGGAGGTCTGCGTCGCGGAGCCTGCCACGCTCGGAGCTGGAGGTCGTGGAAGCGGGTCGCCGAGGGTCGTGTGCCGCCTTCCGATCCCATTCCGTTTCATAGGTGGTGCTGGCGTCCGCTTGCGCCGACACTCTTCGTTGGTGCTGGTGCCCATCACTGTCTGGGACAGCGTCAGAGGCGAGGGGCAAGGAGGGGGAGGGCGTCAGAGGGGCAAGCGGGGGAGGGGCGAGGAGGAGGAGAAGGGGGGAGAGGAGGGGGAGGAGGAGGAGGAGGAGGAGGAGGAGGAGGAGGAGGAGGAGGAGTAGGAGGAGGAGGAGGCCTTCGCGAAGCAGATGTGCTCCTGGATGAGCTGGCGCCCGCTGCCTTCGGAGCCCGGAGCCCCGCTTCCGCCCCGCCCGAGGCGCTGTCCTCGGAGGGGGGCGACGAGGGGGCCGCGGCCGTCGACGGCCAGGATCCAGATGCCGCTCCGCCCGAGACGCTGCCCTCGGACGGGAGCGACGAAGGGGGCCATCGACGAGGCCCTCGACGAGTCGTCCTGTGGAGTGCCATGGCTGAGGCCCTCCGTGGCAAAGCCATGGCGACCACGCTCCCAGACGGCTCCCGGAGGACACGCAGGACTCCTCGCCGTGCTGGTGCCGGCCGTGCCCTGAGGATCACATCGAGGGGGGGCAGAGCGGCGGCCGCCGGGCTGGATGCTGGCGGCCACGGCGCCGCCGATGCGGCTGGGCACCCGCAGTCTCAAGGACGCGCGAAGTCACTGCGCAGATGACAGGCGGGAAGCCGCACGTCAACGCCAGCGCGATCGTCGGCTCGCGCCCTGCATCGAGGAGAGCGACAGCGAGCGCGACGACGTATACGAGGGCTTCTACATCGGGAGCTCGCCCGCGAGGCCCTCAGCAAGGTGAACCTGGTTCTCTCCTGAGGCGGCCTGCGGTCGGGACACTGCGTCCCTCGGTCTCCGCACTCCGCACTTCTCATCCTCCTCCTCCACATCCTCCTCCTCCTAGCTCCTCCTCCTCCTCCGCCTCCTGCCCCTGCGCCCTCTCTTCCACCTCCTCCTCTGCCCTCCTCCTCCCCCTTCCTCCTCCCCTCCCCCCCCTTCCCCTTCCTCCCCCTCCCCCAGTCCTTCTTGAGGACCATCTTCACGAGCGACTTGCCGATCATCAGGTTGAGCAGGGCGCCCAGGCCCCCGCACAGCGCAGAGTCGATGTGGTTGTCCCAGCCCTCTGGGAAGTCCGTGGCCTCCCGGACCGAGTGCTTCATCTGGACGCTGAGCCAGGTGCAGCCGAGACCCATTCTAGGGGAACGAAGAACGACACAACCATAAAAAAAAACTCGGAGGTGGAGGAGGAGGAGGAGGAGGAGGAGGACGAGGAGGAGGAGGAGGAGGAGGAGGAGGAGGGGGAAGAAGAGGAGGAGGAGGAGGAGGAGGAGGAGGAGGAGGGCCAGCGCCCAATCGGCGCTGGACCCCCCCTCCCTGGCGCGCGGAGCGCGCCAGCGGGCGGCGCCGAGGGCGCCGGCTCGGGCGGGCCCAGCGCCGATCCGAGAAACCCGGGCGGACCTCCGAGTTTCTATGTTTCTGTCCAGGGGCTCCCAACTTCGCGCTTCGCGCTGCGCGCTGCGCGATGTGCGAATGACTTCGCGCTCTCGCGCTGCCTCCCAGGGGGGAGGGGGGGTCCAGCGCCGATCCGAGAAATCCGGGCGGACCTCCGAGTTTTTATGTTTGTGTCCAAGGGCTCCCAACTTCGCGCTTCGCGCTGCGCGAAGCGCGAAGTGCGAATGACTTCGCGCTCTCGCGCCGCCTCCCGGGGGAGAAGGTGGGGACGAGGAGGAACCGGGGCCGAAGCGCGAAGCGAGAAGCGCGAATGCCGTCGCGCCCTCGAGGGCGCCCTGGATGTCGCTGTTCGTTCCCCTGCATCCCCAGGCAGAGGCACCTCTCGGCTAGACGCAAGAGTGACCCTGGGTAAGAGTGACCTTTGGTGCGCGGCTTCTTGGGGGCCGCGGGGGGGACCAAACCTGAGCGTGCAAGCCGCTGCTACCGCTTCGCTTTCTGCCATCCGGGGAGACCCATCTGTGCCCGCACCCAAGGCCACGCCGGCGACAGGTCACTCTTACGTCTAATCGAACCTCTCGGAGAGCGGACCTCCGAGTTTGTATGCTTATGTTGAAGTCGGGCGTGTCCCCCTACAGGTGGATTTTGGGCGACAAATGAAAAATCGATGCAACATGCCCCCAAATGCCCACAAATAGTAAAAAAATAGTTTCCAGCTCCTTTTTTTACTACTTTTGGATTTCTCTCCTGTAGAGGGGCAGGCCCGACTTGAGTTTATGTCGTTGTTCCCCAGGCTATGTTTTGACTCATTTCGAATCTCCCTCCTGTGGAGGGGCAGGCCCGACTTAGTTGTTTATGTCGTGGTTCGCTCCCCTGCCTTCCCAGGCAGTAAAACAAGGCTAGGATCGGGATAAATCGCTCCAGAGCGTTCCGGAGCGCTCTCAGAGCGTTCCGGAACGCTCTGGAGCGGCCGCGGCGCCCAATACATCCTCCAAACCCGCCGATTCTCAGAGATTTCGAGTTATCCCGATCCGATTTTGTCCCGATCTTCGCGTCGTTTGACCCCTGCCTTCCCAGGCAGAGGCACCGCTCGGAGAGCGTGAAGGGCTCGGGGGCGCCGCTGCCCGGCCCCCGCAGGGCCAGGGCGAGGATGCCGAGCACGGAGTGGCGGCTCCACAGGGCCGCGCGCCACTTGCGCCACAGCGAGGCCAGCGCGGGGGCGCCCATGGCTCGCCCGGCGCAGGCGGCGGGGAAGCAATCAATGACATAAACTTATGCTGTGACAAGGCAATAAGCATGACATCAGCAATCAGAGGCAATCGATGCTATGACATAAGCAATCAATGGCAATCAATCCGACTTAAGGGCTACTTGAGAGAAGCAAGCAGTGACATAAGCATCACCTCTCGGAGGCGAAGCTGCCCCGATACGCAGCACGCAGCACGTGGCGTATCGATGCGGAGCTCAGCACGTGGGCTGAAAACGTAGATCCGACGCGATACATTCCATTCGCCAAAACGCGGCCCAATACGTGGAGCCAACACGCAACGTATTGACACGGACGTCTTGAACTTATGTTGTTCCCATCCTACTTAAGGGCCACATCCCAGCAAATAATTTCGAGCATCCGGAGAAGTGCCAAACGAGTGTCGAAAGAGTGTCGAAAGAGCGTCGACAGAGCGTCTCCCAGGGCAGGACACGCGAAAACCCTAGATGTTTGGGGTGTTTTCTTGGTGCTCGAAATTCATATTGGTGATCGAGGCTAAAATAGGTTGGACCATCATAAACATACACATAAAATCTTGGAGGTCCTCGTGCATTTCTCGGATCGGCGCTCCCCTAACGGCGCATCTGGCGCCGCCCCTGGCGCGCTCCGCGCGCCAGGGAGGGGATCCAGCGCCGATGCGAGGAATCCGCGCGGACCTCCGAGTTGTTATGTTTACGTCATTGTTTGTTCCCCTAGATGGGAGGGTGCCCTGACTCGAGGCTGCCGGAGGAGGAGAGGAGGAGGAGGAGGAGGAGGAGGAGGAGGAGGAGGAGGAGGAGGAGGAGGAGGAGGAGGAGGAGGAGGAGGAGAGAGGAGGAGGAGAAGGAGGAGGAGGAGGAGGAGGAGGAGGAGGAGGGGCCAGGAGGAGAGGGGGGATGACGAGGAGGGAGGGGTGGTCGAGGAGCCGGGCGGAGGGGGGGGGGGGGGGGGGAAGAGGCCGAGCAGGCAGCAGAGGACGATGGGGCGATGCCACAAGCACGAGCACCAGCACGAAGCCATACGCCGTCTGGCAGGGGCGGGAGAAGTCTGGATTCGAGCTCTGACAGCCAGTGCGCCTGCTTAACATTACAAGAGGAGGAGGAGGAGGAGGAGGAGGAGGAGGAGGAGGAGGAGGAGGAGGAGGAGGAGGAGGACGATAGAGAGAGAGAGAGAGAACAACGAACACATCTAAAAAGGGAGGGTACGACTGTTTGTCTGCGCCTGGGCGGTGCGCGACTGATGGCATCAAAGCTTCCGCACACATGCTCAAACGCAGTCAGACAGTAACACAAAAATCGCCCCCTGACCAATGTTTGACTGCTCTTGACTACTCCTCCTGTTGAGGGCAAGCGAAAGCGCTGCCCCGCGGAGGCGGTGATGCGAAAGGAGGCGCGCCGGCGCCCGTCGACCGGCGGGGGGGGGGGGGGCCGGCATGCTGCTTCCCGTGTGCAAGGCCAGCAGCACCCCCCGACCACCAGGTCGGGAGTGTCCCCCTGCAGGCGGAGGTTGGACGAGAAAGAAGCAACGATCTGACAATGCTCAAAACCAGTCCAGAACTGATACAACCAAACAAATCGTCCCCAGAGTATGTTGTTGCCTACACCCTGCGAAATGCTTAAGAAATCATGGGTTAAGAAATTCACAGTCTCAGAACTTGAACAAAAACCCAACATTTTCATTAAAATCTTAGGATTTACGTTGAAACGTTAAGAATAATCGAGACTCTGGCCGAAAACTTGGGTTTTCTTAAGCATCGCCTAAGGTGTATTTCTGAATCTTCCTCGCCCAGCGCGGAGGGAGCGCGGCCGTCGACGGCCACGGCGCCAACCGTTCTTGCATCCGGGGAGGCCGCAGCCGGGCGTTGGCAGAACCGGGCTCAGTGGGACCCGGGTTTGGTGGGGGGCGCCTCCCGCCCCGCTCCACCGACCGGCACTGCCGTCACCCGAAGAAGCGCCAACTACGGCAAACCTGGCTTAGTTTTGGACGCCCGGTGGTGGGCCTGTTTTCCACCACCACCACCATAAGTTGGAGGGGGAGGGTGCCCTCCTCCTCCTCCTCCTCTTCGTCCTCCTCCTCTTCGTCCTCCTCCTCGTCCTCCTTCTTCCCCCCTCCAACTTATGGTGGTGGTGGTGGAAAACGCTCCCATCACCCGGAATGGGTACGGAAAGAATGGGTACAATGCCCAACAACAAATGTTGCCCCAGACCAACAGCGGCCGCTGTTGGGCAGGCGGCCTTCTGTCTCGAATGGACACAGGCCGCGGCGGCGTGGACAGCGAGTCCTGTGCAGAATGAACCGGGTCCGCTGTTGGGCATTGTACCCAGTCTTTCCGTGCCCATTCCGCTCGTGCAGGAATTCAGGGGCTCCGGGGCCCTACCACTGACCGGGTCCCCTTACCCGGGGCCCTGGCCATGTCCGACGCAGTGCCGTCGATGAGGCAATCCGGCGTGGCATCTGCCCGGCGCGGAGGAAGCGCAGCGCTCGACGGCCGCGCAGCGATCCGGGCACCAGGGCTGGACCTAAGCGCTGTGCTTCGTCTTCGTTTCGTTGTCGCTTTCCCTCGTTTTTGTTTTTGCCTCGCAGCCGCCGTGCACGCCAAACGAGGTCGAAACGACAACGGCCCACGACATCCCCAGACCCTCGACGTCATGTTTTTTTTTTTTTTTTTTTTTTTTTTTTTTATATATATATATATATATATATATATAACGTCGACCCCCAGAGATCTGGACCCGTTCCCCAGGGCCGGTTTTTCGTCCTGAGCCGTTTTTTAACGGTCCCGAGGGCCGGTGAGGGCCCCCCGAGTCCAAAAATAGTGAAAAACCTCCCGTCGTGGTTTCTTCATGACTCGAGGGGGTCTGGGTCGCCCAAACACCGTTCAGGTCCAGCCCTGCCGGCACCCGCTCTTTTGCTCGGCGGCTCGCGCAGCGCGGGCCGGCGCCCCGCGGGCTCTTCTCGCAGCAGCCGCAGCAGCAGGGCCGGCGTGATCTCGTGCTCCCCGGGCCTCAGGAGCCCCTCGACGTCCTGCATCCAGCGCTGGGTCTTCTCGTCGGGCCGCTTCGACAGGATCGCGTGCAGGGCGCTGACCTTCGGGAGCGGCCAAGAGGGGGGTGTCCAAGAGGGGGGGGTGCAAATCATGACCGGCGGCATGTGCGCGGCCCAGCATGGGGGCCAGGGACGTAATGAAATGAGAAGAAGCGCCATGAAATCTCGGGAAATATCATGGCCCACGCCCTGATATCGACCCCCCCCTAGTCATCACCCCCTTCTTTTCCGCCCCCGAGACCTGCACCGCCGGCTCGGCCGCGCGCGCCTCCCCGAGGCGGGGCCCCCCCACGCGGCTCAGGAAGGAGCGCAGCTCGCAGAGCAGCTCCTCCTCGGTGAAGGACTGCAGGTCGAGGAACAGCATCACGATGTTGCGGAAGTCCACGAAGTCCTGCTCGTGGATGTCCCCCGCCTTGAAGATGCTCTTGGCGGACTCCTCTAACAGGGGATGCGTCGACCCCTATCCCAGGCTCCGTGAGGTTTTCGAGAGGATCAACAATTTGGGGCCCAACCCTGGGATATACGAGGGGGGGGCGTCCATCCTCGACAGGGGTGCGTCCGAATAGCCCCCTCGGGATGTATCCCAAGATTCCTCCCCTTTTCTGAGCGACCAAACATTTCTGGCGGAAGTCGGGGATTGGGCCTACGATCCTCGTCGAGGCCGACCCGCTGGGCGGCCTTGCAGAACAGCTCGCGGTCGATCCGGCCGTCGCCGTGCTCGTCCATCCGCCGGAAGAGCAGCCTGTTGGGCGTGGCTTAGTGGGGGGGTCATAAATGGGGGGGTCAGAAACGGTCCCCTTTCGTGCCCCTTTCGGGCCCCTCTGGAGCCCCAGGGGGCTCGTTAGGTACCGTTTGGGTACCTTTTCGGACCACCCGCGATACCCCCCATTAATGACCCCTCCATTACGCAACGCCCAAGCCTGGCGCCGTGCACGCGGTCCGGCTCGAGGCCGGAGCCTATGAGGCCGAGCGTGTAGCGCCACGTCCAGGACATGGCCGCGCGGTCCAGGAGCCGCTCCGCAAACCGCGGGTGCTGGGGCACCTGATGGGCCAATTTCCCACCACCACTACCATAGGTAGGAGAGGGAGGAGGAGGAGGAGGAGGAGGAGAAGGAGGAGGACCTCTCCATCTTCCCTTCTCCTCCCCCGTCCTACGTATGGTAGTGGTGGTGGAAAATTTGCCCAGCAGCACCCACAGGCCCCAGCCGTTGTTCGCGCCGGACTGCAGCATGGCGTCGTAGGCGCTCTTGCAGGGCTGGTGCGCCTCCTGGAGCCAGGAGGAGGCCTGCACCTCTGCCGCCGTGGGCCTGTCCTGGTGGGCCTGCTGCCCACCGCCACCACCATAATTAACTACGCACGAGGGGGAGGGGGGCCTCCTCCTCCTCCTCCTCCTCCTCCTCCTCCTCCTCCTCCTCCTCCTCCTCCTCCCCCTCCCCCTCCTCCTCCTCCCCCCCTCCAACTCATGGTGGTGGTGGTGGTGGACAACAGGCCCATCGTGTCCGCGGCATTGCGCGACAGCATGGCGCGCACGGTCGCCTGGACGTGCGGCGCCGCGGCCTTGGCCAGCCGGTCGCGGTCCCTGGCGTCCAGGCCCTTCGGCGACAGGATGCGCTCCCGCACGCCGCCCAGCTTCAGGTTGTAGTAGGCCGTGTACGTGGTCACGGCCCTGTCGTAGAAGAACGGCAGCCACCCTCCGGTGAGGAGCTCGAAGGCCGTCACGCCCAGCATGTAAATGTCGCTCTTCGGGGAGAGCTCCTCCTCGAGTATGACCTCGGGGGCTATGTAGCGGGGGTCCCCTGGCGCCGCGACGCGCGCGGAGCCGATGCAGACGGCCGTGTGGCCGAAGTCGCAGACGATGCACAGCGGCGAGCCGTCTGGTCGTATGCCGCTGATGATGAGCATCGTTTAACCGATCCCCATCCCCAGCGGCGTGGGCTGGGCCCCGCTGGCCGATTTACCCCCCTCGATGGGGACATCAGGGGTGATGGGGGCTGAACCGAACGGTCATTCACTGTCCCTGGGTGCGTGGCTGAAGTGGAATTCCGCGATGCGGATTTTTGTTGAACACTATTACTTCTAAAGAATAATTATTGTTGGGGCCCCTGGTGCACGACCCCCCCGCCGCGCCTAGGCCGCAGCCTCATTTTCATCATTTTCGTGAGGAAGTCTCAGGCGAAACGGGTTGGTCCGGATCCGGTTGTGTTGTTACGATCGGTTTTCCCTTGCAAAAAATAAGCGAAAGTGGACATTTCTTGTTCTAACATAACCAAACTTCAAGAATCCCTTGCAAAAAATAAAATAAAGTGGACATTCGCGCGCGCAAGACGAAATCCTTCCAAAACCTTAGTTTTCGTAGCGATTTTAACATAAAAACATCAAAAACCAATGGTTTTTGTTTAAAAAAACATCAAAATTTCATCCCGCGCGCTCTTGCGGATTCGTAGGAAACCCAACACTTTTTAATCATTTCTGTCAAACGGGCTTTTGCGAGCAATTTTTTCGAATTTCTGCAACAACGGTTGCGCACCTGCCAGGGCCATCATCCCTGTCAAATAATACCATGCGGGACACATTCGTTTTTTCTTCGCGCGCGCACGCCGTCGTCGTCGGCCGCGGAGCCCTGAATAGTAGCCACGGTCGTCCGCATGCCACGAAGTGAAGTGTCCGAACGTCATAGGGCGGGAAGCTGGGTGTGGGTGGTGGCGAAGAGTCGTTTGGAAATTTGGTAGAGCTTGAACCGGCCCCCCCACAAAATGGGGGTATTGCCCGCCTCCTATGAAAACCCTGGCACTGGTGAGAACGGTGTGTCCCCACGTGCTAGTAATTGTTGTTGTTGTTGTCGTCGTCGTCCCACCCGCGACCCACCCCGCGACCCACCCCCCGACCACCCCGCGACCCACCCGCGACCCACCCCGCGGCCCACCCGCGACCCATCCCGCGACCCACTCGCGACCCACCCGCGACCCACCCGCGACCCACCCCGCGACCCCCCCGGCGACCCACCCCGAGACCCCCCAAGCGACCCACCCGCGAGCTACTGGCGACCCATCCGCGACCCACCCGCGACCAAGCCCGCGAACCACCCGCGACCCACCCGCGACCCACCGCGACCTACCCTCGACCCACCCGCGACCCACCACAAATTTTCGGCGCCTGCGGCGGGTTTCTTTTGCATTCGCTCCAGGTGGAAAACCTGCGACCCACCCGCGACTCAAAGCGCGCCCGCGACCCACCCGCGACCCACCGCGACCCACAAAATGTTCGGCGCCTGCGGCATGTTTTTTTGCATTCGTTCCAGGTGGAGAACCTGCGGCCCACCCGCGACCCAAACCGCGGTCAGTGTACAAAAAAAATGTTCGGCGCCTGCGGCGGGCTGTTTTTGAAGCCCTCCCAGGTGGAGGTGGAGAGCCTGCGACCCATCCGCGACCCAAACTACGTTCACTGAACAAGCCAAAACTTCGGCGACTGCGGCGGGTTTCTTTTGCATTGGTTCCAGGTGGAAAACCTGCGACCCAACCGCGGTCAGTGTACAAATAAAAATGTTCGGCGCCTGCGGCGGGCTGTTTTTGAATTCTTCCCAGGTGACGGTGGAGAGCCTGCGACCCACCCGCGACCCAAACTACATTCACTGAGCAAGCCAAAACTTCGGCGCCTGCGGCGGGTTTCTGTTGCATTGGTTCCAAGTGGGAAACCTGCGACCCAAACCGCGTTCAGTGTACAATCGAATTGTTCGGCGCCTGCGGCGGGCTGTTTTTGAATTCCTCCCAGGTGGAGGTGCAGAGCCCGCGACCCAACCGCGACCTCACTGAGCAAGCCAAAACTTCGGCGCCTGCGGCGGGCTGTTTTTGCATTCGTTTCGGGGGGGCCACCAGCGATCCCCCCCGCGCTGAACTTGTCAGAGCACACAAATCGGCGCCTGCGGCGGGCTTGCTCGCAGTGGCTAGGAGGAGGAGGAAGAGGAGGAGGAGGAGGAGGAGGAGGAAAAGGAGGAAGAGGAGGTGGAGGAGGATGCGGACGACGACGACGACGACGACGATGAGGACGAGGACGCGGACGAGGAAGAGGAGGAGAAGCAGGCGGAGGAGGAGGAGGGCGCCATCGACAAGGAAAGCGGGGGCCACGAGGTCCGCTGGCTCGACGCCCGCGTCGCCCGCGCCCGCTCCCTCACTCTTATCCGCAATTGCGGGGTACTGCGTAGGTCGTTCTCTTCGGGCTTCGAGGGGTGTATCCCCAACTGGGGTGGCAACTTGGTGGGGGTCTCGAGGGGGATGGAGATGATTGGAAGCTGGGCGAGGGCTGGCAAATCCGTGGCTGCAAAAACGGTCTTCCCGGAAGGGAAAAAAAAACAAGCTCCTGGAATCGAGCTCTTCGCACTAGAAATGATAAAAACGGGCTGCTTCCCTGAAGAAAGAGACAGGTTCCTGGAGCTCCGTTTTAGCAGGCGCGGGTTTGCCAGCCGTCGCCCGGCTTCTGAGATTAGGGAACCGAAACATGACATTAACATAACAACTCGGAGGTCCGCGCGGATCTCTCGGATCCGCGCTGGACGCCCCTCCCTGGCGCGCGGAGCGCGCCAGGGGCGGCGCCGGAGGTGCCGCAAGGAGGGGCCCCGGCGCCGATCCGCGAAATCTGCGCGGACCTCAGAGTTTTTATGTTTATGCCACTCTTCGTTCCCCTAGGTGGGGAGGGGGTTGACCTAAGGAACCCTAAATAAGGAAGGAGGCCCCTCTTTTCCATAAGTTAAATAAAATCCGATGTCCGATCGAAAGCAGAAGGGAAACCTGAGGCAAGCTGTGAAGCACTCAAGGAACGCGGAGCCCCTCCCCAACCAAAAGCGTTCCTTCTTCAGGGCCCCGACTGTAGTAGAGCGCAGAAAACCCACCCCGACAATCACCACCCCGACACGCGAGGCATTTAGTAAACGCGCCCAAAGAAGGAATCGAATAAGGCAAGGCTTTCAGTAAACGCCCAGGGCCGTTTAGTAAACGCCAATTGTCCGGTCTGGGTGGTTTTCCCTCTCTTGATGTAGATGGGAAGGGGGATCGGCGAAACGACGCCGAGATGAGCACGTTCTCGGGCTTCAGGTCGCCGTGCAGCACGTAGTGGCGGTGGCAGTAGGCCACGACGCTCACGACCTGCTGCATGGCCCCGGCGATCCAGGGGCCCTGCGGCCTCTCCAGCGCGTGCCCGGAGAGCGTCCCGCCGGCCGCGAACTCGGTGATGATGTAGACCTCCTCGGGTCAGGTCGGGCGTGCCCCTCTGCAGGAGGGATGCTCAGAGGTGGTCGAACATCGTCTGGGGACACGAGCTCTCGAGTACGATTTGCCTATTTTTGAGACTTGCTTGGCGATTGCTGCTTTCGCCTAAAAAAGTAGGGGGACAACAAGTGGCATGAACATAAACAACTCGGAGGTCCGCGCGGATTTCTCGGATCGGCCCCCCGGCGGCGCCTCCGGCGCCGCCCCTGGCGCGCTCCGCGCGCCAGGCAGGGGGTTCCAGCGCCGATCCGAGAAATCCGCGCGGACCTCCGAGTTGTTATGTTTATGTGACTTGTTGTTCCCCTATGTAAGGCGGAAACAACAATCGCCAAACAATTCTCAAACATTGTCAAACAATACATACTCGAAAACTCGTCCCAAAACTATGTTTGACTATCTCTGAGCACTCCTCCTGTAGAGGGGCATGCCCGACTTAATCCTCGTGAGACTTCACCACCTCGAACACCCGGAGAAGGTTCGGGTGCGCCAGCGCCCTCAGAACGCTGACCTCGTCGTCCCGAATCTCGCCCGTCTCGTCGTCGATCTCCCGGTGCTCGAGCCGCTCTAGCACTTTGACGGCGACTGTCCGATGTTCGGGCGGCGCCAACTGACATCGGGGGTTGCCAAAAGTGCCCCTGGACCTTTGTGGGCCCTGGAAACGGCAGAGCCGTTTTTTAACCGTTTCCCCAAAAATGTCCCTTGAAAATGGAAACGGCAAAAAAAACGGCGACCGGAAATGCCACAAAAACGGCTCCACGATTGGAACCGGAGCCGGAACCGGTCAAAAAGCGGCGACGGAGCCGGTAAAAAAACGGCGTCGGAACCGGCAACAAAAACGGCAGAACCGGTAAAAAAACGGCCCTGTCGTTTCCAGGGCCTACTGAGCCTCCTCCTCCTCCTCCTCCTCCTCCTCCTCCTCCTCCTCCTCCTAAGCCCTGGACTAAGGTGCCCCCAGGGTTTCCAAGGAGGTCCCCACGGCCACCTGAGCACCCCACACCAGGCCCAGGGGGCCCAGGGGGCTCCAGCATGGAGCGCAACGCTGGGGGAGGAGTGCGGAGAGGGAGGAGGAGGAGGAGGAGGAGGAGGAGGAGGAGGAGGAGGAGGAGGAGGAGGAGGAGGAGGAGGAGGAGGAGGAAGATGAGGAGGAGGAGGAGGGGAGGAGGAGGAGGGGAGGAGGAGGAGGAGGAGGAGGAGGAAGGAGGGGGGAGGAGGGAGGAGGAGGGAGGAGGAGGAGGAGGAGGAGGAGGGAGGAGGAGGAGAGGAGGAGGGGAGGAGGAGGAGGAGGGAGGAGGGAGGAGGAAGGAGGGAGGGGGAGGAGGGAGGAGGGAGGAGGGAGGAGGGAGGAGGAGGAGGAGGAGGAGGAGGAGGAGGAGGAGGAGGAGGAGGAGGAGGGAGGAGTGAGGAGGGAGGAGAGAGGAGGGGAGGAGGGAGGAGGGAGGAGGGGGAGGGGGAGGAGGGGAGGGAGGAGGAGGAGGAGGAGGAGGAGGATGGAGGAGGAGGAGGAGGAGGAGGAGGAGGAGGAGGAGGAGGAGGAGGAGGGTTCCGAGGGTTCCGATGACGACGAGGGGCTCCGAAAACGAGGCACCAAGCCTGAAACGCGAAATATCATAGGCGCGAATCCCGAAAATCAGCTATGCGAGATGATCGGCACAGGCTAGAGTAACCCTTTTTTTTTCCGATCTTTTCGCCTGATGGGCCCTGCCCCTGGATAAGGTACTTCCTCTGAAAGTGCCTCGGCGAACCCAGGGGAAGCCTACCTTTACAAGGTCTGGCAAACATAAAAAAGTCACTGCAAACACACCTCGCAGCACAATCTACACGCCAAACCATCGGGCCCGTTTTGCAAAGACGGTGCGTCACAAGAGCCGCAGGTACCCCCTTAGGGAGTCCTCCACAGCTCAAGTTCTTAGGAACGCACCATCGAGCGCGGCTCTCTCCGCACCTCGCGCAAATCCATCTTCCATGGTGCCTAGACACAAGATGCCTATAGCCTTCGCTCAGAATGAGGCCGATCGGCCTCTTAGCAAACTCCTTCTCCGCATTATCCGCCCATTTACCTCTCAAGCAGCGGCGCAGAATGAGCGGCACAGTTTTCAGTGACAGCACTGCCGCTTGCTCACTCATCTGGCGAGCTCGTTCTCGAGGTAGAACTCTGGGGTGCCTGGCAGCACCCTCCTTGGCGTATGAGTCGACGAGCTTTTTGCCGTGCCAGTAGGCCAAGGGAGTCTGCGATTCGCTCTCTTTTGCATGAGGCATATGCGAGGGACTCCACTCTGCGTCCTTCACTTCAGCTCCGACGTCGCCGACTGCCTCTGCATACAGGTGGACAGAGATAATGCCGTAGGGAAATCCTGCGTGCCATCCGACGCAGAGCTCCTTGAAGCCCTCGATCAGGTGCAGCTGGCCATGTGGCGCACGAAGGATGCCCTGACGACCTGCGTGGAAATCCGCTGCACCGGAGGCTTGCCACGGTAAGGAAAAAATGCAAAAATCCGCGGCAATGTCATTGCCCCCCGCGTCGAACATGCAGAAAGCCCATCCACCGCGTGCACGAAACTCACTGCGTGGGAAGATGCGACCGCCGCCAACACACACCGCCCCACTGATACACCCAGGACGGGCGCAACCATGCCAGCAAGGAATACTGTGCTCGACCGCAGCTGGGAAACGGAACCCAAGGTCAGGAAAGAGGCCCCTGCTCAACTTCAAGGTTCGCGGGTAATCCTGACCAAACACGCTGCATCCCCGCAACAAGAACTTTCTCTCATACCCGCTCCATGCCAGCCGTTCCATGATATGCCAATCACATGTGCAACACCCGTGTAGGTTTGTGCCCTCCTCGATTCCACAGATAGCGCAGAGCGGGGTATCAGTCGCCTGCGCCTCGTGTAGATACACTAGGTTGAAGAGACCTCCAGGTAGTCTTGCTCGAGGAAGGCCAGCTCCTTCAAAGTCGCCCTGCTTTCGAAGCCCCAAGATCGCCGTGATAGCTGCTTGCAGTCCCGGCGGCCCAGCAAGCCCCCCCACGCCGATCGAGGACAGTGAGATAAAGGAAACAGAAACTCCATCGTCCTGCTGCTTCCGCACACTGATCCAAACTGTGCACGGTTGAACTGTGCGCGTTCGTTATGCAACTGCGCGTCGATATCACATGCCCCTTGTCCGGACTCAACTCCACGCCCAGCTTGACCTTGCCGCTGCAATACTGGGCCGACCTGCAACTTTCACAGTTCCCGTCGTTTTCAAACTGCCACCAACCACAGCTACGCTGTTTGTGAGCGAGGGCCGCGCCATGTAGGCCAGTGCGCGCGCGCCCCTCGTGAACAGGATCTCCGCGGTGGTGGCATCTGAGCATCCAGCGATGACCCCTTGATCCGTGGAAATGTCCTGAGCGCGCGATGGCGGTGCCCCGGGCGCTCCAAAATGGCGCACTCTGGAGAAATACTTGTGTAAGCAACTCAGCTGCTCCATCGCTGCGCCTGGCCCTGCCTCCAATGCGAGCAAGACTCCACAGTCTGTCGCCAAGCTCAGTCCCTCCGATCGTCGTACGCCTGTGAACATACTCTTGACATGTTTGGAAATCACATAGAAACCAATAGTCCTTCCACGTCCTGCCGAGCGCGTCCGCACAAGAGGAGCCACGAAGGTAGCAGGCATGTCATGCCCGACTCTCAGCTCCTCCAAACCAAGTGGACTCATTTACCCAGCACCTCCAATGATAGATGGACGCCCAAGCCATTTGAGTTGCCCGCGACACTGCTGGATAATCTGCCGAATGTGATCTTCCACGTCCCTGCGCTGGCACCCAGAGATGTGGTACCCCAAGGCAAGAATGAAGCCGTTATGGAGCATGCCGTCGAACCACTGTGTTGTCCTTCTCGGCGTTGGTGGCGCAGCTCCTCCGAGGTCATGTTGAGCCGCGTCCCCGACAGCCTGTTTGTGATGCTTGTGTTCCAGGATGAGCAGCGCATCTGCCTCGTCCTCAAACTCCACTACCCCGGCCGCAATCTGCGATAGCTCCGTTGCCTCTTGCCGGGCTGTGCAGCGACGAGCCTCCATGTGCGAACTTTCAACGTCTCCACCTGGACGGGTCTGACCTGGCAAGGTCGGCTGGCCCCACATTGGCGGTAAGAACAAGCACGACTCTGCTCGCACTCTGCAGGATCAGCTGAGACCAGTCTCCTGCGGGCCAGGTGGTGCAACCTGTGTTTCAAGCTCGATGCTGCCAGAGACTGTGTGTATTTGTATGCTTGAGCTTGCCTCTGTCGTCCCAACTCTATTTGACGCACGTTGAAAACACGCAACTGCTGAACCACTGCTGTTGAGGCCACCCAAAAGAAGAATCACTTCCTCCTGCCTCTCTCGCGATGTATTCTGACTCGAACCCATCTCCTGGAACGCGAACGCAGTGGCGTCCACTATCTGCTGGAGTCGGCCCCAGCCGCTGACGGTTTCGGATGCCTCAGCACGAGTCGCCTGCTGCAGCAGCAGGGGCCGCGACTCGGCGCCGCTTGGCCTTCTCAGAAGCTGTGGCCAGCTACTGTCGAAGGCGCTTTCTGGCCTCGTTGATGCGTTGGGTCTCATCGGCGTCGTCGACCCCGTCCAGCTTGAGGCCGTGGTCAGTGTAAAACTCCTCCAGGTCTTCGTCGTGTGGGACTGGGATGTCAACTTCAGGTCCGGGGCCAATGCCAACATCGCCAGTGCCATCACAATCACCACCAGGAAGGTTTGCGCGCTGTCCAGCTTGAACGCGCGCAGCATGAGCCTGTTTCTTTTCAGCTTCTTGATTCTGGTAGAGCTCCAAAGCCTGCTGAAGCGCCTGCATGGGCCCACGTAAGGCCTCAAGAACTTCGCCATCCCTTCCCGCAAGCTGGAGCTCCGCGAACTGGCCGCAGAGCTGCAGGGCTGGGTTGACTGCCCCACTGGCCTGCTCCCTGAGAAAGGCATCGTACTTAGCCTTCTCGAGCTGCTGCTGGCTGCTGCTTGAGCTTGTGATTCTCCAGGATTTGTCGCTCTGCGTCTCGGCTGGCCAGTGCGCGCTGGTACTCATCCTCGCGCTCCTTGAGCCGCGCTTCGGACTTCTGGGTCTTCTTACTGGTGTCCTCCAGGCGCTGTCCCAACTGGAACGAGGTGAGCTTGGTGATGTCCGCGGGCTGGTCCGATGACTTTGCTGCCACCGCCTGGTCCCACAGCACCACCATGTCCTTTGCATGGTCTGGCCACTGCTTGCGATCTTCTCCGTGTGCTTTGACCATGGTTTCAAGCATTGCTCTCGCCGTTGCCTGGTCGACCATGGACTGTGCTGCAGGAGGAGCCTTGGGCGGATTACGACCGAGTCCAAAAAGAGAAACTGGCGGGCCATCCTCCCACCTGTTCTTCTGCTGCCAGGGAGGCTTGCGCTTGGCGACACCCCCTGCAGCACCTCCCCCTTGCAGCTGGATCTTCTGCTTCTCCAGCATTCCTCTCGGCGTTTGCTTGCCACAGCGTATGCAGTGGGATCGGTAGGCGTAGTTGGCGCACGCAGTGCCATACACCCTCGCGCAGTTCCCACAAGGCCAAGAAGGATGCTTCGTCGCCATTCGTGGCCCGCCCGAGCGAGTCGCGTCGAAGCACACTCGGGCAAGCCCAGACCACCTGGGCCGACACGGCTGGAGGAGGAGGAGGAGGAGGAGGAGGAGGAGGAGGAGGAGGAGGAGGGAGGAGGAGAGGGAGGAGGGAGGAGGGAGGAGGGAGGAGGAGGAGGAGGAGACTATGAGGAGGAGGAGGAGGAGGAGGAGGAGGAGGAGGAGGAGGAGGAGGAGGAGGAGGAGTAGAGGAGGAAGGAAAAGGAGGAGGAGGAGGAGGAGGAGGAGGGAGGAGGGAGGAGGGAGGAGGGAGGAGGATGGAGGAGGAGGAGGAGAAGGGAGGAGGAGGGGGAGGGAGGTGGGAGAAGGAGGGAGGAGGAGGAAGGAGGGCCCCCACGGACACCCGAGCCGGGGATGGGCCCGGCCAGGCTCGGGTGCCGTGGCCAGCAGGGCTCGCCCCAAACAGCCACAGAGGCGGCGACATCCGGGCCCTGCCCCCGCCAGCCATCGAGTGAAGGTGCGGCTTTCGCCACGCGCTCGACCAGCCGCGAACCCGAACCCCCGCCGCCCGTCGAACTGCCTGGGGATCGTGGATCGGCGGGGGTGGGGCCCGGGACTTCGCCGCCGGACATCCGTGCGTTCGTTTCCGTGCGGTGTTCGCTATCCCTGGCGTTGTCTCTCTCTGTTCCGCCTTTGCCGCAAGACGGCATCGCACGGAAACGCCCAAACACTGCTGCTTGGGGCGCGGCCTAACCGAGGGCGCCCATGGCGTCGCCCTCGGTAAGGCCGCGCCCATGACGTCAACCATCTCCTTCCATGACGTCGCCCTCGCCTCTCGAGCTTCCCTCCAGCCGCAGACATCTGTCTTGGGACAAGGCGAGGGGGACGACATGACGGGGGATGGTTTGCCAGAGATCGGTTAGACCGCCCCTGACTTTGGGGTCGAGCCCTGGTTGAGAGGAACAGAAATTGGCAGATATAGACGCGTAAACTTTGACGGTCCAGGCGGATTTCTTGGATCTGCGCTGAACCCGCCTCCATGGCCCTCTGAGCTCGACAAGGGCGACGCCGGAGGCGCCGCCAGGGTTGTTCAGCGAGGTTCCAAAAGATCCGCGCGGAACGTCGAAAGTTATGCTTATGCCGCTTTTTCTGTTCTTCGATGGTGCCACTGCATTGAGCAGGGGCCGACCGTCCCATCATTCCTACAGGCCTACCACGAAATGTCCTAGAACCCGAGGATCCTCTTCATAACATAGGCCGGTTGACTGAAGCCAGACAGTCCCAGCCAGCAATGTTCCAAGAGCATGTCGTGCAAGCCGCAAGAGGTTATCATAACATTACTTGGTGGGCCTACAGTCATCGGCCTGACCTAAGGAACGATAAATAAGGAACGAAGCCCCTTTCTTCCAAGGAATAACGCATAGGGAACGATGAACAAATAATACATAACGCATAGGGAGCGATAGATAACGCATGCAAGCCTAAGGGACGACCGAGCCCCTTTTGAAAAGTAAGTGTTCCTGATTCAAGCCGCTCACTGTATAGGCACGCTGGGGCGCCTCGCCACTGCTTGAGTGCAATCGGCGCCGCCCCAGATTCCTGCACGTCTCCCTCGCCATGAAGACCTGGCGCGGCGTGCGCAGGGGGGCAGGCGGCAGAGGAGGCGGAGGCTTCTCGGAGGGAGGCTGCTTCTCCGAAGGCGCGCGCGGCCCGCACCTCCCGAGAAGCAGCCTCCTGCGGCGGAACCTTCCCCCCCCAGACAACCTCGGCTGGCTGCCTGGAGCACACGCATGGCTTAGGGGTCCGTGGATCTGGCGCGCGGGCGCCAGATCTCGGGTCGGGCGAACGGGGGGGATAGCAAAGGGGGGGGTGAGAACCAGCTCACGTATAGCTGATGTTCCCGGCGCCTCCCGGCGCCGGAAGCAGCTATGTATCGAGGAATGGGCCCCTCGGTGAGGCCGAAACCAGCTGCATGCAGCAAACTTCGTGACCCCCCCTTTCCCGATCCCCCCCCTTCGCCCGGCCCGAAGATCCTGGGATCCGCATTAGAAGAAGCACAAGCGGCATCGACACAAGCTTCTGGCGCTCCGCGCGGCCTCCCTGGATCTGCGCTGGACCCCCCCCTTCCAGGGCGCGGAGGCGAGGAGGACTTGGAGCTAGGAGCTAGGAGCTAGGAGTTCGGATCTTAGGAGGAGGAGAGGAGGGGGAGGAGGAGGAGGAGGAGGAGGGGGAGGAGGAGGAGGAGGAAGGAGGAGAAGTAGGAGGAGGAGGAGGAGGAGGAGAAGGAGAGGAGGAGGAGGAGGAGGCGAGGAGGCCTTGAGCGTAGGAGCTAGGAGTTCGGTATCTTAGGTGGAGGTAGGAGCGGGGAGGAGGAGGATGAGGAGGAGGAGGAGGAGGAGGAGGAGGAGGAGGCGGAGGAGGGGGAGGAGAGGGAGGAGGAGGAGGAGGAGGAGGCGAGGAGGCCTTGGAGCTGGAGCTAGGAGTTGGATTCCTTAGGAGGAGGGGAGGAGGCGGAGGCGGAGGCGGAGGTGGAGGCGGAGGAGGAGGAGGAAGAGGAGGATGAAAAGGAGGAGGAGGAGGAGGAGAAACCCGTGCGGAGCGCCAAGCCAATGATGTCTCTGGCGTTTTTCTGTTTGTTGCTCCTTCTCCGGGATTCGGAGGAGGAGGAGGAGGAGGAGGAGGAGGAGGA